AATATTTTACTGAAACTGATATTAATATGTAAACTAACTTAAAAAGTCAACTCTTAACTGTCTACAGCAAAAGAGAGCTTTGGTACCAATAAATGGGAATTAGGGCGTCAAAATAGACATTGTTTGTAGATTTACAGTATGTTTTTTTAAATTAAATTGGCAATGCCTATAGACAAAAGCGTGAAAGTCTCATCCTTCTGTTACCTACACTACATGAGGAACGAACAACCAGACTCTTTCAAGTTACTGATCTAAATAAAGCACTATCCTAAAATTTCTTCCAAAATAATTAATGGGTCACACCCTACAATTTAGCAATAGGTAAAAAATTAAGTACTTTACTTTTCAATGCCCCCTTTATCTTTTGACAGGAGCAGCAAGATACTGGGGTAAAAGTAATTCCAATAAGTACTTCCAGAATAATCAATTTCAGTTTTTCCATTTGAAGGGGGGGGGGCGGCTAACAAGAACAAATAAGTAAATAAAGGGCGATTTAAATTAAAAAGTAGACTGGGCAAGGGGAGATAGTAGGTTTAGGAGAACAAATGCTGTCAAACAACCATTTTTGCAAAATGCAGAGTATTATTATAAATCCTTCTTAAATTACACCCAGGGCCATGTACCTTGCACATGAAATTTGGGTAATTCTTTGATAAACCTCAAGGTTGCTAGATAACTTCACGAAAGTTATTAACACATTTTGATTGTGAGAAGCAAAGGAGAAATAAAAATAATCAAGATACATAGCACTTTTACTTTTTGAAATGGCTATCCTAAAAGTTTTTCTTAAATTCCGATTTTGCGAAGTTCCTTCTCTCCAGTCATCAAGTACACACTGAAAAAAACTTTACTTACGAGTACTGTGGACTATCTATGGAGTATGCATTTTTCATAAATGTAGACCAAAGTGAACTAATTGAGATTTGGTTCTAAATTCAGCCTGTGATTCTTGGATATAGCTTTGGAACAAAATGAGTGGTGTATATATATATATATATTTAAGTATAGTTACTTCTTAATTTTGTTGGGAAAATATTTATATTCTCAGCCCAAAAGATTACTTTTAGAGTTTGAAAGATTAAAGATAAAAACAAAATTGGTTCAACAACTGTCAAATAAAATGAATACAAACACTGACCACAACAATTTTCCACTCAATCCAAACTAAACCACTTCAGTTGAGCTCGGCTCACTTAATTTTAAAAGTATCCCCCTTTTCCAGATTCTTAACTGGACTGATTATTGCCTAACAACATTATCTGTGTTAAAAGTGAAGAGATAAAAAGTGTTGTAAAGACTGCACGAGTGATTGTAATGTGTAATCACATTTCAGAGCTGGAAGGGATCTTTGAGATCTAATCCAGCACCCACATTTTATAGACGAGAAAACTGAAGCCCAAACGGAGTCTTTTGGTCAAACGACATGACCAAAATCACATTCCATGGCTGAGCCATTCATTCATTCATTCATCATTCATTCACCCACATACTACTGAAAGCTGCCTAAGTGCCAGGCTTGGTGCTAGGTGCTGAAAACAGGCTGCAGGGCAGCAATCGGCAACGTCCAGGCAACAGGAAAGCTTTTTCCTTGTTTTAAGAGAAATCCTTAAATGTCCTCACCAGGAAGAACTCCTAGAAGACTTCCACAGCCTTTGCAGCACCGGGCCCACTTTCAGTTTCACACATTTCAGTAAACACAGTTGGCTTTAACTTTGCAGAGTCCACAATCATGTTTACTTTAAACAATTAAGCATTAACAAAGGGAAGCACAGTATTGTGAATGAGTCCCTTTCCAGTACATTCATAACTTAAGGAAGTGCAATCAGAAAATGCCCCCTCCCCCTCCCCCACACACACAAGAGTTCACAGAGAGGACAGCTTACAAAATCAGAGCAAAATGAGGTATCAATACAGGCCAGTTAAGTCTAATAGCTCAAGTTTACCAAGTGTGGAATGTAAATCTCTCCCCGTTTCATTCAGATGTGGGTATATTTTTCTGAGATGTCTGCATGTTAAAAAGACCTCTAAACTCACATTCAAACTAATGCCCTCTTCCAATGAAACGTACATCTAAACCAGGCCTTTCTCCTTAAGATCAACTTCCTTTGATTTCTAGTTGATTAAAGGAAAACTAAAATAAGAAAATAATAACGACACCTAATGTGTTGGCTAAAAGAAATTCAAATCCTCATACAATAAGAATAGCAATAGCTCAAACTGCACATTTATGAGTTTTGTTTTTAAAGAGATGGGCAGTGAACTTATCCATCAACATGATAAATCATCTCTCTTTCTGCTTGGACTTTTACAGTCTTTAATATTAAGTCTGGCACTTAAATGTTTTGTGTATATCAATTCACAGTCAACTTCTTTGAGGAGAAAAAAAACCATATTGACAAAGCTTTTAAATAAAACAACCCATAAGTAAGGCACTTTGAAATATTAAACAGCAGCTCTCTGTGCACCCATTTTCAGCATTCTATACCAAAATGAAACACAGCTTTCACAGAGCTCGCGCAGATGACCAGTGGGTGATTTCTGATAAAACACAACCTCACTGAGGCTCTTTAAAGGCTCTTTGACTTTCTTGAAATGACCAGTGGGTGATTTCTGATAAAACACAATCTCACTGAGGCTCTTTAAAGGCTCTTTGACTTTCTTGGAGCTATTGTCCGTCCGCTCAGGAAGAAAGTGCTGTTGTGCTCTTCTATTTCTCAAACTTCCAGATCTGTTTTTTATCTAGAGCATCACAAGTTCTCATTTGAACATCAGGGCGACCCTCAGGTGTCCGAAAAGCACTAAGGCACAGTCCCGAGCGGGGATGAAAAATGGTTCCATCTTCTTCAAAATGCCAAATAATGTTTGCTGGAATGGGGAACCCATCTTTTGGACAATTTTGCATTCCTACATAATTTTTTTGCTCAGGAACCTCTGCGCATAACTCTGTCACAGAGTTAAACCTTATTTCCTTGTTTGAAGTGTATTCAAAGAATTGATTGCCTCCTTGGCCGTGGCAGCCAAACAGTGAAAGGTTGGCACCTGTGGGGTTACTGTCAGGAGAGTTATAATCTAAACATTCGGAAGAGATTCCCATACTGCGAATAGCTCCGTGCCAGCCTGGCCTATCCTCTGGAACATGTAAATTAGAAAACACATTTTTCAAATACCAGTCAAAGCTCTTGCACTTCAGCCGTTCTCGTAGTAATTTTCTTTCAGATATATCACCATAAGCTTCTTTCCTTGCTGGAGGGTTTCGATTGTAGAAATGCTCTTTGTACTGGTCCATCCACACTTCCGCTGCCCGAGCAGTATTCTGTAGGAAATTGGGCCGAGCATATGGCGCCCGCTTGGGGAATACATGGCCCACATGGGAACACGGGTGGATCTCCAGTTTACCTCCACACTGCCACACCCTAAAAGATAGCTCCAGGTTCTCACCCCCCCACACTTCCATTCCAGTGTCATATGTTCCCAGGTACTGAAAATATTTCTTGCTGACAGCAAACAGTCCTCCAGCCATGGTGGGAGATCGGATTGGGTCAATTCTCGATTTCCGTCTGTCCCTTTCATGTTTGGGGACTGAATGCCACTGGAAGGTTAAGCGCCAGTCAAATCCACCAATCATGGGCTCCCCGGTCTGCATATAGAACTCAAAAGTATTCCAATCAATGGTGTCTATCACAGGACATACAATTGCCGTTTCATCTTTCCCAATTCTTTCCAAAAGTGGTTCTAACCAACCAGAATTACACTCACAGTGGCAATCCAGGAAAGTGAGGACATCCCCCGTGGCAAAAGTGGCCCCAATCAGGCGGGCTCGAACCAGCCCCTCACGCTTATTTGTTCTAATCAAGCGGACTCTATCGAGATTGCTGATGTAAGTTTCAAGCTGTGTCTTCAAATAAACTCTGTCACTCAAGTCATCCACTAGGATGATTTCCTTCAAGAGGACTGCAGGAGAAGTTTCTAAAACACTGTGGATGGTGCGGAGCAAGGTCGACCAGGCTTCATTATAGAAAGCGATGATAACAGAGGTGGTGGGAAGTCTCCTATAATTAAACTTCTGGGATTTACACTCATACATTCTTTTATCCTCTATGTGGCGGTGCAGGGAAATCCTGTCGCTGAGATAAATATTAATGGCATATCTCTCAATAAGTTCTTCTTGCTGCTTTAGTTCATCCTGGCTGAGCTGGAGTCTGCTGGCTTTCCCCCACTCCCCAAGTGCGTGGAAATCTGCAGGGGGCTTCTCATAAAGCGGTCGAGACAACTCCTCTGCCTTTTCCCACGGGCCTGAGAGCTGTTTGGGCCCCCTCTCCCTGGCAAGGCCGGCTGCTGAGGAGGCATGGAAAGTAGAGACAGAGAGTTCCACCAGGATATAGGCCACTGTTAAAAGCGCCAGCAACAGGCAGCTCTTGCCTGCCCAGGTCCACCTCACGGCCATCCGGATCCTCATGGTTAAGGCGCAGACGCGGCCACCAGAGCCACCACGCAGGGGAAGGACTTCGGACCAGCAGATTGAGGTCCCGGCTCAGGTAGGAGCGAACTTCCGAGCACGTCCCTCCTTTCACGCAGGCGCTCGGCTTCTTTCCAGCCACAGGGGCTTCGCAGCGGTCACCGGAGACCTCTCGGTCCTTGGCCTCCGGCACAGCCCCAACTCCTCTCTCCCCGCTTCCTCCACTTGGTCTCACAACTTTTCACAAACTCTCTGGCCAACACCCCACCCTCCCTGGGCCGAGGACAAACCCCTCCCCTTCCCACTCACTCCTCCTGGCGGTTAGTTCGAGAAAGTCTTCGGCCAGGCCCGGGCCCGGAGGCGACTCGGCGGGGCCGGGCTGGGGGCCAGGACGGGCACGACCCAGGTGCCCGAGGCTGCGGCGCTCTCAACCCCCACACGGGTCCTCGGGGGCTCTCCCGCGGCCCCGCGTGGGCAGGAGGCAAGGTTTCCGACCACCTGAGCCTAGGCCGCATCACAAAGAGGGGGAGAGAATGCAACTTACCAAGTTGTTTGCCGTTGGGACTGAAGTCCACGGACGTGATCGCAGCTTTGTGGCCCTTAAAATACCGCTCCAGAACGGGGTCCTCCTGGGAAGAAAGTCGTCGGGTTGTGAAAGCAGGTGCAGCCGTCGGGACGCGGGCGTCGCGGGGTCAGCGCGGCCGCCTCCGCCGGGGCCCGGCCCGGGAACCGCCAC